GAGAGCCATCAATATTCTTCCACTAAGTACCAAGTTAGTTTATCTCTCTGGGCCTCGGTTTTCTCCTCTATCAAATGAAGATGCCAGGGCTGGGGCTTTAGCTCAGCGGCACAGCGCCTGCCTGGCAAGCGCAAGGTCGTGAGTTCGATTCCCAGTACCGGAAAAAAGCCAAAAAAAAAAGGACTTCAAATGAAGATGCCACCCCAGAGTCACAGTGAGGCGTGAACTTGGTGATGATGTCTAGCGCTCCCCTGCAGTGTGCCCAGGCCACCCTTTGTGGTCGGTCAGTGGAGCTGTCGTTGCCGTCTCCCTTCTGTGGGCAGGATGGCACCTTTGCCTACTTCCGCCTGTCTCTCCCCAATAGATTATCGAAATCTCACCTTTGATCCAGACAGTGCCAACCACCACTTCAACCTATCCTGCCAGGACCGCCGGGTGACACACTGTCGGCAGTCTCAAGGCCCGGCCCGGCCGGGCAGCTTCAAGCTCTGGCAGGTGCAGTGTGCCCAGAGCTTCCAGGCGGGGCACCACTACTGGGAGGTACGCGCCTCTGACCACTCAGTGACTCTGGGAGTCGCCTACCCGGAACTGACTCGGCAGAAGCTGGGAACCAACACAGACAACATCGGCCAGGAGTCCTGTTCCTGGGGCCTCTGCATCCAAGAGGACAGTGTCCTGGCCCGGCACAATGGCGATGCTCAGCGCCTCCCCCGGGTGTCTGCACGGCTCCTGGGCGTGGATTTGGACCTGGCTCGTGGCTGCCTCACCTTCTACAGCCTGGAGCCGCAGGTCCGGCTCCTGCACACCTTCCACGCCCTCTTCAGCCGGCCCCTCTGCCCCGTCTTCTGGCTCCTGGAGGGAAGGACCCTCACCCTGTGCCATCGGCCTGGGGCCCAGCTCCCTCCAGCACCACAGGAAGAGGCCTCAGTGCTCAACTGAGGAAGCCATGGGACAGTACTCTGGGCTGGGGACAGGTGCCATTGGGCCTGTGTGCCCAAGAGCTGCCCAGCCCCTGGCCTGAGGCTATAGTGATTCCGAGAGAAATATTCTAATGATGGTCAAAGGGATCACAGTTCTCAAAGGAGTGACTATTGGCCTCTGGTTTTTGTTTTGTTTTGTTTTCTTTGTACCGGGGATTGAACCCAGGGCCTTTGCACTGACCTACATCCCCAGCCTTTTTTTTTTTTTTTTTTTTTTTTTGACAGAGTCTTGCTAAACGCCTAAATTGCTCAGGAAAACTTACAATCCTCCTACCTCAGCCTTCTAGGGCGCTGGGATTACAGGTGCGTGCTACCACTCTCAGCTGGCCTCTCTCTGTTTCTGTTTTTATACTTTAAGTACATGCAGTTTATCTTCCATCAAATGTATCTCAATAAAACTGTAGAAAAATGAAGTGAACTAAAATAAGTGGGAAGAAGAAGTGACTTGCATTCTCTCCGGCTCCTACAGACAACCTGAAGGACTTGCATTCTCTCCGGCTCCTACAGACAACCTGAAGGACACCGTCTGTTTGGAAACAGGGTGTAGCCGTGAGGGGCATGTCCCAGGAGGCTCAGCCTGGGTAGACCTCAGAGGCGTCTCAGGCAGGGACTCAGGCAGACATTCTGTCCTTGAATGTGGGGTCAGGGCTGGCAAGGCCTGGAACCACAGCTCATGCATCCCCAGGTGGAGCGTCTTGTCAGTAGGTGGCCCTGCTGGTGTGTGCTGACCTCTGTTGACTCAGAGAGGGAACGGGGAGCCTGCATACCAAGTTCACCTTTCCAGACCCTTGGGAGGGGACAGCGAGTGGAAGAGGGCCCAGATCTCACACAGCCTGGGCTGCTGTGTGTGACAGAGTAACACAGACCGGCCTTCCTTTACCTCCCCACGCAGACTGTGACGCACGAATGATTCCAGAAGTACCCTAATGATTAGCAAATATTTACCCAGCTGGGTGTGGTGGAACAGACATGTAATCCTGGCAGTCGGGAGGCTGAAGCAGGAGGATCGCCATCTAATAATTTACCCAATATTAGACTTTTAAGGTATTTTTGGTTAGCCAGGTGTGGTGGGCACACCTGTAATCCTAGCACTCAGGCAGCTGAGGCAAGAGGAACTATGTAGCAAGACCTTGTCTATCTCAAACCAAAAAAAAAGAAAAATTATTTTTGGTTATAAAATATTGCCATGATGAGTTTTTGGGGGCAGGCAGCCTTGGGCATAATTATGGTTGTGTACTTAGGCTAAATTCCGAAAGTAGAATTATTTGTCAGGAAACAGTGAACATTTGAAAATTTTAAAATTTCTGTTTGTTTTTGTGGTACTGGGAGTTGAACCCAGGGCCTTAGCACAAAGCTGTATCCACAGCCGTTTTTATTTTTCATTTTGAGACAGGGTCTCACTAAGTTGCCTGGCCTGGGCTTGAACTTGTGGTGGGTCCTCAGCCTCCCAGAGTGCTGAGAGGGGTGCAACATCCTGCCCCGCTGCTGCTGCCGCCATTCTAGCAGAGGGTCACAGACATCAGTGGCCATTAATGAGTATGGGGGGAGCTCTGTGTCCCCCAGAAAGCTCCTGCCCCAGTTCACGCTGCCCACTCATGGACGCACCCTCTCCTCTAGGCCAGTTGCGCCAGGATAAGAGGAAAAAGCACATGAAGTTTGGGGTGTGATACACAGGCACACATCTGAGTTGCCTGTGGGTGTTGCTGGCTTCTCTGCCCCGTCCATCACAGCTCCTCTCCGTTTCTGCGCTTCGGGGAATGGGTATCTGAGACAGGATTACAGCAAGAGAGGGTCTAAAAGACATGGCCTGGTGCTGGGTGTGGTGACGCACGCCTGTAATCCCAGCACTCGGGAGGCTGAGGCAGGAGGATCGTTGCGAGTTTGAGGCCAACCTGGGCTACAAAGTGAGCTCAAGGCCAGCCTGAACTACAGAGCGAGACCCTGTCTCAAAAAGACCAAAAAAAAAAAAAAAAAAAAAAAAAAAAAAAAAGGCATGGCCCAGCGGGAGCTGGACTAGAGGCCAGGCAGGCGCAGGGTAGAAAGGACAACGGTCTGATCTTTTCCAGGCAGGGAGGGGGCAAAATGGTGACTGGGAAGTATACTGCGGTGGCCTCAGACTGGCTGTTCAGAGACCTGGAGCCAGCACTTGAGGGTTTTTTTGGTACCAGAAATCGAACTCACAACTTTACCCTTGCCAGGCAGGCACTGTGCCACTGAGCTATGTCCCCGGCCCTCAGCACTTGAGATTCTGAGGGGAAAAGGCCCCACCCTTGACTCCCAGGCCTCAGCTCAACCTTCAACCAGGGATGCAGCCTGAACAGAGATCCTGGCAGAAGCTCCACAGCTCTCCTTGGGAAGCGCCAGGGCACTGACTTCGCAGCCAGGCATGGTGGCACAGGACTGGACTTCCAGCACTCCGGGAAGCTGAAGCAGGAGGATCCCAAGTTTGAGCCCAGCCTTGAGCGCTTCAGCCACTCAGTGCGAAGGCCCTGGGTATGATCCCCAGTACTGGGGGCCGGCGGGGAATAAGTGAAGGGAAGGCCTGAGCCCAGGAAAAGAGGAACTGACCACCAGAGGGAAGTGATGAAACCCCTGAACCTGAGCACAAACATCTACACAGCTGCTCAACGGTCCCAGTGATTCGGTGAGGTGGAGAAAAGGCTCTAAGAAGAACCCTTAAAAGAGTCAAAGCAGGTCACCCACGCAGAGCAGGAGCCTGAAGCAAAGGGGTGCTGGGTCCACTGTCTCCTGTTTATTGTCATACTCATGAAATTGTTTACTTTTTTTTTTTTTTTTGGTCTTTTGTTTGTTTGTTTGTTTTCCGGTACCAGGAATTGAACTCACAACCTTGTGCTTGCCAGGCAGCCGCTGTGCCGCAGAGCTAAATCCCCAGCCCCCTTTTTTTTGGTCTCTTTTTGAGACAGGGTCGCGCTATGCAGTTCAGGGTGGCCTTGAGGTCACTTTATAGCCCAGGCTTGTCTCAAACTCACAAAGATCCTCCTGCCTCAGCCTCCCGAGTGCTGGTATTATAGGGGTGTGCCACCACACCC